TCCTTTATTAATAAAACTCGGGGTGTTACACCGCTCGCGCGCTTCCGTCCGCGCGCCCTCGCTGCCGGCCCGTTCGCGCGCGTTCTCGCCAATTGCGCGGTTTCTGCCCACGCTCGATGCTCCCGCATCCTTCCCGCGCTCGCCTGCCCGCTCGCGCGTACCATCGACGCCTGTGCCCCGATCGCCTATCGCGCACCTGCGTACACCCGTGGTTCTTCGCGTCTCGCCGACCCCCGCAGCCTGCCTTCTTCCTGCGCATGGTCGCGCGTCACTTGCGTCCGATATCTCAGCGCCGCGCCTCCGCTCAGCGCCCCGGCCCTTCGACCTCTTGCGCGCATCACCGCACGATGCGCGCCATACGCCCGATAGCCGGTCCTCATCGTTCCCTTTGTCCCCTGACGGCCCTGAGTCCCAACCATCCAACCCAATACAGTCACCGGCACGCCATATCCAGCATTCTTCCATACCTAGCCTTTCCCGCCTTTCGAACTCCGTGTGCCACGCCCGTTTCTTCCTTGTGCACGGCCCACAACATCGGCTCGCCTTTTGCGCCCATGTTTTGCGTCGTCTTTTGGCCCGACACTTCTTAACCTTCAACTCGGCCCGTGGACCACAACCTCTTGGCCAATCTCGTATACATGATGGCCGAGATATTGGACTTGATGGCTCCTCAAACATGTTCTTCAACCATAAAACAAGACCATCGTCCTCCTCCTTGTCATACTCGCCGGGGTTGATGACCACTTCCGTATCAATTCACGAGTGCGCGGCTTGGGCAGCACGCGCCCGCGTTCGATTAAGGACTTGATATACTCGGTTGAGAATGGTTCGTCCGAAATGGCTCAGCACTTCTTGGAATTCTTGAGAAATTGGCTCGACTCCCTTCATTCATCCTCGAAATAAATCTGAAAATATACCAAAAGCTCGGGAAAGTATGCCAAAATATAAAATGAAACGAAAAACACAAAAATACTTGGAAAACGACAAAATGGACCGGATGACACTATAACGAACCTAAAATCGACTCAAACACGCAAATAAACACATAAAAATTAGTACAAAAACATAACAAACAACTCCCCCACACTTAGCTTTTTGCTTGTCCTCAAGCAAACAAAATAACAAATAGCTCGAAGAGATATATCGAACGGGCCAAAATTAACGAACATGCAAAATGACACTCTCATTATCATTTGGTTATCCCAAAATCAATATTCAATCCGAGACACGGTTCCCACATAATGAATCAAACGAAACAAAAACCCGTCCCAAGTCAATCCACAAATGACCGCTCGAGTCAAACTCCCTCACTCACATGTACGTGCAAAAACCATAGATGATCTACAAAACATGAAATAATAAGCACGAGATCAATAAGCCAACTCCCCGATTTTCTTCCCTTTTTTTTTATATTTTATATATATTTTTTTGAATGAGCCACTTTTTCCAAATGAAAGCCGTTAGGACGATTATTACCTAGGTTTAACCTCGGGGTTTGTCCCCGAGTCGCCTAGGCCGGTTTCCCGTGCTCGTTGACCCGATTTATCTAGAAGATTAACCGAGCCAAGAGGAGCCTAATCCTTCCGACTCCCACGAACTCATTTCGTGAGCTTCTTTTTCCAAACAAGATTTCTGGACGAGATGATCTAGGTTTGACCTCGAGGGGTTTCCCCGAGTCTCCTAAACCGGTTTCTCGGGCTCATTATCCCAATCCACGAATGGCTCGGAATAAGAGGAGCCTAATC